CCGAGTCCTGTGTGGACTCAGGCAGCCAGGGCAGCAGCGGTTCTTGCTTTTTCTAGAGACCAGACAGTAGCTGCCGTGTCTACAGTGCGGGAAGGGCAGGATTCCCTCCTGCGCTCGTTGCTCCGCTGTGACATGACGGCCGATCGCTGGTATGGACCGAGAAGACGGTTCACAGAAATACACTTGCTTCTTGGCTTCACGTGCGGGAGAGGTGATGGCAGGTCCCGCACACCGCGGTGGAAGCCGGTCCTGCCGTGCCCCAGCCGAGGCACAGGCGGCCACTCCCTTGCTTGCCCATCATTTAACCACTCAACCCACCAGCCACCAGAAATGTCTCCCTTTCCACACACAGCTGTTTGACGTCTGCAGGCAAAACACATCTTTTTGCTTGCTATTTATTATTGTCCATCAAAATATCCTTTTTAAAAATTTTGGTTTTTTTAATCCTTACCCAAGTATTTTTTCCATTTATCTTCCAACAGAGTGGGAAGGGGAGGGAGAAAGAGAAAGGGAGAGAGAGAAACATCGATGTGAGAGGGACACATCGACTGATTGTCTCCTGCACAGCCCCGACCAGGGCGGGAGAGGAACCGCAACCGAGGTATGTGTCTTTGGCCGGAATTGAACCCGCGACTCATTGGTCCGCAGGCTGATGCTCTACCACTGAGCCAAACCAGCCAGGGCCGATATACACTTTTTCTATGTATTAAAAAGTAACAATTTGCTGGAATACCAGAAAGAACCCGTGTTCCTTGGCGGGAGACAAATGGCAGCAGCCGACTCCCCCAGGTGAACCCATGTCTTTCAGAAGCCGAGGGGTTCACCTGACAAGATAAGGAATTTGTTGCTTTTTGGGGGGAAGATTTGCAAGGAGTTTCTCTTTCCTCGATTGCCGGTTTAGAAACTGAAAGGACATGCAAAGAAAGAGTAGAGAAAGAAAGCTGGTCTAGCAGATGAAACGTGCACGGGGAACCCTGCACACCTCGGGGAACATCTCCTGGGCTGGCGTGTTTGAGATAACTATTATCCTGCGGCTAGAAAATTCATTCTCAACTCCATTTAGAATCTTACTGAGGGTTAGGTGAAAAAAATCACATCTTTATAGGAATAATGTAAACATTACTTTTCCTTTTTGTGTTTATATAAATAGCTAAATGGACATAATATGTGGATCTGGCTTAAATATATGTCCCCGCTCATCTATCCTTACAAAACAGTGTTTGAGACAGGCACAGGGAGCATTCTGCAAACGGGACACTCAGCTCTGAACAGTAACGTCGGACTTTCCGTTCGGCTGCGGGGGAGGCAAGGCCACTGTTCTGCATGCCCGAGAGTTCAGAGCGTCCAGTTACAGAGTTTCAGGGGATCGGCCAGTTCAGGCTGCTATGACAAAATGCCCCAGTCCTGAGGCATCCAAACGACAGACATCATTGTTCACAGTCCTGGAGGCTGGGCGTCCAGAACCATCAGGCACGTGCCTGGGTTCCAGGGAGGGCCCTCTTCTGGGTGTCCTCATGGAGTGGGAAGAGGGCAAGGGAGCTCTCTGGGGTCCCTTGTGTAGGCGCACTAATCCCTTTCATGAAGGGTCCGCCTGCGTGAACGGATTGCCCTCCAGAGTCCCTGCCTCCTGTAGCATCGCATCAGGGTTAGGGCTTCAGCACAGGGCCTTCTGGGGGAGCCCAGCATGTGTCCCTGCAGGTGAGGTGAGGAGGGGTGAGCTGGTGAGACAGACTGTTCCAGCGTCAGAAAAACCGGCTGGTACAACTTCAGTTCTCTCATGTGAGTTACGCAGATGGTGTGATGGTTCGTCGTAGGTGTCAGCTGGACTGGGCTCTGGGTGTGTCTGGGAGGTGCTGGTGGAGGTGCTTCCCGTGGGAATCAAGCAGATTGCCCTCCCTGATGGAGGTGGTCCTTGTTTAGCAGCGGGAAGGCTGGAGTCCCACGTGGAAGGGGCACCTCTGTCTGCCTGCCTGTCTGAGTTGGGACTGGGTCTTCCTGCCTTCTCACTTGAGCTGAAACCCCGTCTCTGCTTAGGGCTTGAACCTGCCAGCATTGAACTGGAATTACACACGGCAGTCTCCTCTCGGTCTCCAGGCTCAGACTCGGAGTGGAGCTGGGTCATCGGCTCTCTGGGTCTCGAGCTCCCGACTGCAGATGTTTGGACTTCTCAGCCCCATAATCATGTGAGCCAGGCCCTTGCAATAAATCCCTTTCTATCTATCTATCTATCATCTATCTATCTATCATCTATCTATCACATATCTATCTATCTATCTCTCTATCTATCATCTATCTATCACATATCTATCTATCTATCTATCTATCTATCTATCTATCTATCTCTCTATCTCTCTATCTCTCTATCTCTCTATCTCTCTATCTCTCTATCCATCCATCCATCCATTCATCCAACCATCCTGTTGTTTTTCTGGTGTCCACCTTGGCTCATCTCTGAGTATACCAGGCACTAAAGTGTAATCAATAATACCACACTGGACGTCACACACTGACACAGAAAACCCACAATGTGACCCCACACTGATACGTTGGACATGCAGTCCTGCCCAGCAGAGGGCTTAGGCCAGAGGACAAGGTAAATGCATTTAAACTGAGAAATATACTTAAAAATTTTACTTATCAATAATCTAACTTCTTCAAAATTCAAAAAAACTGAGGTGAGCATCTGTCACTCATGTAGCATCTATACCGAGTGCCTACAACCAATCATGTCCCGACTGTTTTCCTCTGAGAAAGAGCTTTGTAAAACCTGAGCTTGCCCGAGGTTGGAGGTGTTGACGTTTAATAACTGCAAATGCCAGACTGACCTTTGCTCGCTGAGGGCCCTGGGGGCTAACACTTCTACTAGGAAGCACTTCGCCATGGTGTTTCCTAGCGATGCAAACTCTGCCCTCTAGACTCCAGCTACGGCACCACTGTGTTCGTGCAATGAAACCACGAAGGCTTGGTAAGTTCCACATGGTACTGGCACTGGAGGGCTCCAGTGTCATGTGAGTCAGAAGTGACCTGGAATGCCCAGTGACCCCTCAACACAGCTGGTCTGCACTCAGTGATGAGGAGACCCGAGCCCCGCCCCCTCGCAGGGGAGCGGGAGCTGTAAGCTAACTTGCATCTACTCAGCTGGTCAATAGTCCTCAAGCCACTTTGCTGCCTATATTGCAGAAAAATAATTCATTATTCCAAAGAATAATCAATTCATGTGTACCGCAGACTGAAAGGGGCTCGTGGGGCGAGGGCAGAGATGGTGAGGTGGGGGACACGCTGTGTGCTGGAGAGGACCAAGTGCAAATGGGGTGGGGGCACAGACCAGGCAGGGCCTGAGGGCCACGTCAGGGCGTCTGTGTCCCCAGGTGTGCTGCCTCACCTACCTCCTGGGCCATGGGAAGGTTTCCACTTTCGTATTTCAGAAAAGTGAACATGCTATGTGGTTAGTTAGGGCTTCCCCTCTAGGCCTTTAAAATCCACCTGTCAATAGTGGTTATTACAAACAATCAAAGACAGTAAAACAAATGCTGGGAGGAGAGGCTGGCTCAGAAGGGTTGCTGCTGAGTGTGTTGGTGGGAGAGGAATAAGCCCCGTTCCGGAATTTGGGTCCTTTGTGTCTGACCTTGGCTAGCGACCCGGTTACTCCAGGCAAACCAGGACCTCTTTGTGCCACAGCTGCTGACTTGTGAAGGCAATAATGACCCACTAACAGGACTGCGAATTACCACAAGCTGCAGAACAGCAGAGCAAGTACCCGCGAGGCTGCAGACCCAAGTCTTGACCTCAGAGCCTGCTCTCCTCCTCTCTGCCAAGTTTCCCGTTGCTCAGCGGAATCTGTCTGTCGTGGGGTGAGCATGTGTAGCCTCACACACAGCCAAACGCTCTTTTTCTGATGCCTGCTGTTCAGTCTGCATTGCAGGGTCCCAGGTGCTCACCATGACCCTATTGTCAGCGTCACAGTTCAACACAAGGGCTGTGGAGGGGCAGGGGGCCGGGCGGGGGAGGAATGGGTATTTTCCATTTCTTTTTATTTTTAAATTTTTATTTATTTATTTTATCCTCATCTGAGGACTTTTTTTTTTTTTTTTTTTTTTTATCTTCAGATAAAGCAGGAGGAGAGGGGGAGGAAGAGAGAGAGAGGGAAACACCGATGTGAGAGAGACACATCAAGTGGTTGCTACCCACAGGACCACAACCAGGGCCGGGGACAAACTGCAATCAAGGTACGTGCCCTTAGAGGGAACTGAACCCAGGTCTCTCTGTTCTGCCAGCTGACACTCACCACTGAACCAAACCGGCCAGGGCGGAACTTCTTTTAAAATGCAACTCTTCTCGCCTGTTAAGTATGAAGAGTCCACTTCCATTGCTCCATGAGTCTAATGGAATGATGCTAACTGTAGTTCAGCAGTTCAAGCGGGAACAGCAGGCGATGCTGACACACCAAGAAGCGGCCGCACAGGTGCTCCTCACTGCACGTTCCTGTGGGTTCGCTGACTCACCCGGTGCTGCCTTCTCGTCGCGAGCTCGCCAGTCCCCCTGGGGAGGGACTCACACAACTGTGTGCCTCCCGCGCAGACCACCCGCTTCCGGAATTACACTTGGCTACGACGCCACACTTTTTTAGCAGATGAAAGGAGAATCAAATATCTACAGAATTCCAACAGCTACTTCGTGAACTGGGAGGAGAATCGTCATGTTCTCCAACTCCCTCTTTTCAGAATTCATGCCTAGTGAGCCCATGGGCCGCCTCCACCGCCACCTGCGACCCAAACCCGCAGTGCCCTGCTTTTGTGACTGAGATGTGGTCCGCCGCCCACTGGCCGCCTAGACCCTGGCTAGAGGCCATGAGTGTCTGGTCAGGGACAGTGAGCTGGGCAGAGACCACCTTTCGGTTCCAGCCAGTTCCCTTGAGGTCCGTGACCACTGTCCTCCTCCTGCCCTTTGCTCACCGCAGGGGGAGGATGTGGGTTTTTGGGCTGAGCAGTATGAGTTCTCACCTGACCAGGCCTTCACTCTCCGTCCCCACGTCCTTCTGCTCTGCTGCTGTTCCGGTCAATTCTGCTGAGTTTGGAAAGTCGGGGTTTGTGGTCCGATCTCCGAGAATATTTTTCTGTGAGACTTTATCTACAGGAAGGAAACAACATATATGCAGAATACCTGCCACTCTAGACACAGCTGTGTTCGACAACATTCGCTGCTGAGACACGTTCGTTTCCCAGGGGAGACTTTTCAGTGACACCTCCCCTAGGGTTCCTGCTCAGCGAAGGACCTTATTCAGGGGTCAACCGGTAGACGGACACCTTGGGCTGGTGAAAAGTACACCTGGAATTACTGTGCTGTACAATAAAAAGTTCACAAAGTAGATTTCTTTTTGAAATGAGTAAAGGGGAGGAGTCACCATGCAGAAGCATTCTTGGTTCTGCTCAAGTCCTCAGAATGTATGCCTGAAATGGATGCATCATGAAATTCAGGAAAATAAAATAGGCAGAAATGATACCGCTACTGTTTCAGAAGTTTGGATTATAAATTTTAATGCAACTAAATCTTTCCTTTTGTTTTGATCTTCAGCTATGACATCTTTTCCGAAGAAGCAACACAAAAGAATATGTGTTGGCTTCAATTTCAGTCCAAAAATTTAAATTTTCCCTTGAAGCCTATGAATATAATTATCAATTAATATAGTTTAAATTGTATTTTACTCAGAGGATAATCAACACACTGGTAAATATTTTGATTATAGAGAAAATTTTAATGAAAGTAAATTACTTCAGATACAAAGAATATATAGGAGAAGCAAAACAATATAATGAACACAATGTAACAGTTATTCATTACCCAGTTTCTAATTTCTTTTTAATTGAATGCACTATGCTTAGAAAATTAAAATTAAATTATAACTCTTATTTTATGGTAATACATTATAATTTTAAAAATTTAAGCCAATCTAGTATTGAAAATCTGGATTTGCAAAAATTACAGATAGGGGCAATTACTTCCTTTATAAGAGTTTTCATTGTACAAATCCTATAGTATGAAAAATTATATGATTCCTCTAAAATCTGTAAATGTATTAAACTGCCTTGGCCGATGTGGCTCAGAGTGGTTAGAGCGTCAGCCCTTGGACCAAAGAGTCATGGGTTTGATTCCCGGTCAAGGGTCCTACTTGGGTTGCAGGTTCTATCCCTGGCCCTACTGGGGCATATGCAGAAAGGAGGCAACTAATTGATGTGTCTCTCTCCCACTGTTGTTTCTCTCTCCCCCCTCCTTCTCTCCTTTCCTCCCACCCTCTATAAAAGTTAGTGAAAAAATATCCTCGAGTGAGAATTAAAAAATAATAAATGTACTAAACTTTTCAGAAACACATTTCAGGATTAAAGGGAATGATAAAATTGAGTCACAGTTTTTAAAAGTTAATGACTAAGAAAGCTTAGAGCCCGGATTTTCCAAGACAGCTTTCTCTATTGAACATCTCCTATCTACCTTAAGTTTGAAATTATGATAACTTTTGATGAAAGATAGGAAACACAGTAATAAGTATTTTTGGTCATGTTTAAATGGAAAGCCCCTGTGCCCGGCCAGTGTGGCTCAGTGGATTGAGTGTCGTCCCATGGACTGAGAGGTCCTGGTTTGATTCCCAGTCCAGGCACATGCCTAGGGTGTGGGCTCATCCCCAGTAGGGGGCGTGTAGGAGGCAGCCGATGGATGTTTCTCTCTCACATTGATCTTTCTCTCTCCCTTCTCTCTCTAAAAAACCAATAAAGACATATTAAAAATAGATGGAAAGCCCCCAAATACCCAGATTCAGGAGGGATGCAGAGGCACCTCACTGTAACCGGTCTGAGGACCCTGCTGCAGGTGAAACACCACCATTTGTATGAGCTCCTGCTCAGAGGTGTAGGTTAGGAGCATTTTATACAAGCACCTGTGGTACACCAGGGAGTGTATCAGCACTGGATGGATTTCAGAGTAAAAACTAGCACTTGCGACATGTCGTTTTGTACTAAGAGGCTCTGGCTAGAAATAAGAGAGAAGGATCCATTTCCATATGCATCTGAGTTCAGCTAAGCCATATTTTCTTATTTCTTTTAACCAACCAAAAAGCTCATTCTCGGGTCTCTGGCATGTGCTTCATACTGCTGCGGAATAAAGCACCAGCCCAGTCCGATTCTCAGATCTGCAAAGCTGGGCCGTGACTGAGAGGTGTCAGGGCAGAGCCCCTAACACTGGGCAGATGTAGGGGCACTGGCGGCCGGGACTGCCAGGGCTGCCTGCTGGAGCTGCCCGTCTCACAGGCAGGGCCCCTCGCTTCCCATGAGCTCCTCAAAGGAGTCTGCACCAAAACAGGGTCATGGCCCACTGGCTTTGTATATTTTCCTTTTTTTTAAAATCCTCACCTAAGGATATGTTCATAATTTTAGAGAGGGAAGGGGAGAGAGAGAAGAGAGCAAAACATTGATATGAGAGAGAAACATGGATTTGATGCTTCCCCTATGCACCCCAACTGGGGATTGAACCCAAAACCTAGGTACATGCCCTGACTGGGACGCAAACCCACAACGTTTTGGTGTACGGGACAACACACCAACCAACTGAGCCACTGCCCAGGGCTGGTTTATATCTTTTTCTGGGAACATCTGCCCCCATAAGGAAATTAGGATTGAAACAGAAGGAAACATAAGTAAAGGGACCAGATAAAAAGCTGTGAACACAGAAGAAGCAGAACTGCGTGAGCTACAGCACATGGACTAGTCGCAGTGATCCTAGTACCAGTTAGGTGACTGCCTGTTCTGCAAGTCCTTTCCTCCATTCTCATAAGGAACTTTTTATTTGGCCTTATAACTCTAAACAGATGCTTGCGCCTTGCCAGGTCCTCTCCAGACGCGCCCAGGTCTTCCAAGACGCCACTGCCTCCATCCCGACTGTTTAGAAACTAATTGCAGTCGAATCTGCTTTGTGGATGAGCATTTTATTTTATTTTATTTTTTATCCTCACCCAACGACATGTTTTGTATTTATCCTCACATAGAGCAGGAGGAAGAGAGGGAAGAAGAGGGAGACAGACATCAATGTGAGAGACACATGGAGTGGTCACCACCCACACAAATTGCAACCGAGAGGTACATGTCCTTACCGGAACCGAACCGGGCGCCTCTGGTCCGCGGCGACGCTCTAACCGCTGAGCCAAACGGGCCAGGGCTGCGGCTGAGCATTTTAACCACAAAACAAATCCTCAAGCCTGACTTGCCAAGAGGAGAAACCAGTTCTTGTCCATTTTTGGACTCAGCAGAAACAGTTTAGAAATACCCGTGGGGACTTAAGCCAGGATCTCCGTCAGCTGCCCCGTGTGGGTGTCTGTCCACGCAGCATGCTCCTTGTCTGTGGGAGCAGCCGGGAGAGGGCCACGCGGCGAGGGGAGCTGAGACCCGCGTGCTCTGCTCGGGGCGGGGCTCCGGCCCCTGGCGGCCTCCCCAGCTCCCGCAGCCAGCAGGGTCTTCCCGCCACCGTGCTCTCTGCGCGCTGTAGGCGGCCAGGTCTCCTCCGCCCGCCCGGGGCGAGCGTGCCCGGGGGCCTTGCCCATGGCACCCAGCGGGACCGGGGTCACAGGGCTCTGAGACGCTGCTTTGGTGGAAGGCGGGAGCCCAGCTCTGCCTCTGCCCGCACACTTCTGGCTGATGCCGTCTCTGGCCTGCCGGCCTCTCGCCCTGGCCTCTGGGAGCCACTTCCAAACGGCCTGGCCCCCGCGCCCAGCGGGTCGTGGAGCCTCACGAAGGTGTGACACACCTGCTTCCCTCATCAAGGGAGGAAGGAAGTGACGCGGCGATGCCACACTGGCAGGGGCCCTAGCAACCGCTGGAGAAGGAGGGACTCAGAGAGAGAGCCTAATCCGGGGACAAGGTGGTGAATGAGAGGCACTGCTTCAACTGGCGTTTTGGGAACATGGATTAAAAAACGAGAAGACTTGAAAAGGCTTCCCTGGGGGGAATGTTTGGGGCGGGCAATGCTATAGCTGGCTGACTTTCTAATTCTTTTTTAAAAGATTTTTTTTTAATTGATTTTTAGAGAGAGAGGAAGGGAGAGGGAGAGAGATAGAAACATCAATGAAAGAGAACATTGATTGGCTGCTTCCTGCACACCCCCCACTGGGGATCGGGTCCACAACCTGGGCACTGCCCTGGCCGGGAATCGCGACCTCCTGGTGCATGGGTCTGTGCTCCACCACTGAGCCACACTGGCCGGGCTGACTTTCTAATTCGTGAAGACCAAATGTACTGTGGGCTTTGTGTCAAAAACAAGTCTCCTTGTATCAGACACCAACAATACCGAGTAACTAGCGGTTATGAGCTAGTAGAGACTAAATCTGAGCACTTTGGCCAGGTGCATAAATGATGCTACTCTTTGTGCCTTAATTAATGAACATTTGGGGTGAAAATAACGAATAACGCCATTTTCAGAAGTGTGTGAGGAATGGGTATTTGCTGGCACCCGAGATTTGTTTCCGACTGTTTGTGATTAACTTCATAGTTGCCAGAATATATGATGTTCTTAGAATGATTTTAATGGTCACACTTGAAAGTTTATGATACCTTGGCAGACTGTCAGATGACATGGAGGAAGCAGACCTCACCCAGGGGAGGGGCTCTAAGACGTCAGCACGGACGCGGACTCTCGTGTTAGGAAGTGCTCATGGGAACAGGAACAGGGCAGCTGAGTTCTGGAAGTCATCCGTAGGGGGCGTGGTGAGAAACTGAGGTTCACTAGCTGAACAAGACTAACTGTAACCTGACAGTTATTTCAAATTACAGAGAAAAGAAGTAGATTTACTCCATATGTTCCAGAAGGCAGAAGAAAGATCCAACAATGGATTCACAAAACAAATGAACAAACAAAACCTCAACTATTCTAACAACAAAACTTGTCTAATAGCAAAACATGTGGCTTTGGGAGAGTCCTGGGTTCGATTCCCAGTCAAGGGCATGTAGTTGTGTTGTGGGTTCATTCCCTGGTCCTGGTTGGGCACATGTGGGAGGCAACCAACCAATGTGTCTCTCTCACATGGATGTTTCTTTCTCTCTCTGTCTCTCGCTCTCCCTCCCTCCCTCCCTTCCTTCCACTCTCTAAAAATC